ATGCACCCATATAAGCTGGTAAAAGACATTCGCACAGGTCATGAAACATCAGATGTGGATGTGGTGATGAATGGCGGTATAGATCCTTTTTTAAAATCATATCTCATGCTCATGGGGCAAAAATCTTAATTATTTTTTCCTAATTCTTAGACTTTTGCCATCCAATTTTTTTCAAGCATTCATAAAATAATACCTTTTTTCTCCTTATTAAGTTTTTATAAATAAAATTTATTAAAATAATTTGTAATTATTTTATACCTTCATTCATATAAACAATAATCATTTTAATTTTATGAAAATTATGTTAAATGCATATTTCTCTGATTGGAAAATATGGGTCTATATTTTATTAGCAATAGTTACATGCTACCACCTAATTAGTGTTGATGCTTTTATGGACAATATTTATGTTATGTTGCTTGTTATTCCCATAGCTCCCTTTTTTGAATGGTTTGTTCATAAATTTATTTTACACCTTAGAATAGGAAAAATTTATGCAATAGATAAACCTAATGCAAGATTGAATAGTTACAAAATAGGTCAAGATATTCAATTGGAGTATGACGGAAAAATGCTAGAGGCAAAAATTGTGGCAGTAGAAAAAAACCATTTAATGGTGGGCACAGGAATTGCTAAATACTCTCCCACTTTATATTATTTTATGCAACATTTACATTATGGGCATCATATCAATCCAAACGACCTGAAATTGGTATTTGCCCCCATATGGGGTGGTCTATTTATTATTTTTTCACAGTTTTTACTAGCCTACCTCGTTTCTGGATTTAATGTTGAAATGGCCTTATCTTTTATGTTTGCCGTTAATGTTTATTATCTCTTTTATGAATGGGTGCATCTGGGACATCATGTGGTGGAATATATACCTTTTTTTCCTTTAGGTAAAATGACAAAAAAAGCACATACCCACCACCATTTTGTAGATGAAAACCTTTGGTGGGGAATTACCAATCCTTTGGGTGACATTATCTTACAAACTTATAAAAATCCAGAAAAAGTTAAAAAGAGCCCCTATACACATGACATAAACCATGAAGATTAAGAATAAACAATAATAAATTGATTTTTCTTCCTTTTCAGACCAAGACAACGGCGCAAATAATTTCTTGTACTGTTGTAAGAAAGTTATGAGGTGCTATAACAATCTGCTTCCTCTTTCTTTAAGCCTTGAGAAACAATATCATTTTTTATAATAAAATAGGTATAAAGAAAAATACATCTCAATTACGAGGCTATTTTTTATGAATAACCAAACCATTCCTTCTTAATTAAAAATTGACAAAGATTTTATTTTATAGAATCTTTCTTCTCTTCCTTTTTTATTAAAGAATCTGCCTTTTTTTCCATTGTTTTTTCTTCTTCTGGTTTTATTTGAACCTCTTCTGTTATAGCAGGTGCATTTTTATCTACTGGAATGTTAGCCTTATTTCCTCCGGGATTACAAGAAAAAAGTAAAAATCCAAATGCTCCAATTAATAGTTTATTCATTTTATTTTTAGTTTTTGTTAAGTTCTGCAATTATAGTTTCTCCACCCACAGGTTCATCTCCCACCTTAGCCAATATTTTTGTGCCCAAAGGTAAAAAAATATCCACCCTTGAACCAAACTTAATGAAGCCGTAATCCTCTCCCACCTCTGCGCTATCATTTATCTTAGAATAAAGCACTATTCTCCTAGCCAATGCTCCTGCAATCTGCCTAAAAAGAATCTCTTGTCCATTTTCATGTTTCACCACCACAGAGGTTCTTTCATTCAATTCAGAAGATTTTGGGAGCCATGCAAATAAATATTTACCTGGATGATATTGGGTATATACTACCTTGCCAGATAATGGATATCTATTTACATGCACATTTAATGGCGACATAAAAATGGATACTTGTATACATTCTTTTTTTAAATATTCTTTCTCAAACTCTTTTCTAATAATTACCACTTTCCCATCTGCCGGAGCAACAATTTGGTTTGACTCTGCTACTGTATTTCTATCTGGATTTCTAAAAAAATAAACCATCATTCCATAAAAAATCACCAATACAAAAGCTGTAAAAATTGCAATCTTTTTATTAATGAAATAATGAACCACAAAGATTAATAAAGCAAATGCAACAAAAAAAACAAAAAGTATTTGTTCTCCCTCTGGGTGTATTTGAATCATGAAAGAAATTTTAATTCAAATATATAATAAAGATAAACAAATGGAATACAAAATATGAAACTATCTAATCTATCTAAAAAACCTCCATGCCCTGGTATAAGTTGACTACTGTCTTTTACATTAAAAACTCGTTTTAATTTTGACTCAACCAAATCCCCCATTGGTGCAGCTATAGCAACTATAACGGATATAATAATCCAATTCCCTTTTATGGGCAAATTCATGTGATTTTGTATTATATAACCTGTGATAATAACCCCAGCTACTCCCCCAAAAAATCCTTCTATTGTTTTATTTTCAGATATCCTAGGCGCTAATTTATGTTTTCCAAAAAAAGATCCTACAAAATAGGCTGCAGAATCACTTACCCAAATCATACAAAAAACCAATAATATTTCTAATGATATTTTATTTTCCTCCTGAATGGTGGGTATGGTAAATGACAATGCAAATGGGATTGATAAATAACAAGCTATAAAAATAATTTTAGCCTGATCATTGTTTATTTCATCTGAATAAAAAAGAATTGTTACTGCGGCAATAAAAAATGCTATAATGGGTAAAATGTTTGATAGTTCTAAACGATAACTTATTTGTTCTTGTAAAAATCTATTACAATAGAGATAAAATACAAAACCATTCAATCCAATTAAAATAACTTTAGAGATAATGGATTCAAATTTTAAAATATTCATTATCTCATATAAACAAAAAGCAAGAAATAAAAGCAACATCACAATAAATAAATATTTATTTATGAAAGTGCCTAAAAAAATAAATCCTGCATAAAAGAATGCAGAAAAAATTCTAGTAATCAAGTTATTATTATCAAGCATCTTCTTCTTTCATTAAAAGATAGATGTTTTTAGCATTTGGTGTCTTTTCAAATGATGCTACTTTATGACCTTTTATACAAGTAATATTAATGGGGATATTTTCATTTTTATACCTTTTAATTCCCCTTAGAGCACAACTCAAATTGGTTGCTATTTGTTTTTGTGTTGAATATACAATTATATTATAAGGCAATTCATTTAATTTAAAATTCTTGGTTTGGTCCGATGAAACCATGATGCTTCCATCATAGACAATTAAATACTCACATGGCATGAACAAAAAAATCTCATCCTTTGGATACCCATTCATAATGGGTTTGTAATCTATTTTTATGTTTTTTAATATTTTTTGTAATTCTGTATCAAAACATACCAATTTTGGGAATTTATTTTCTGAAATAATGGCTTTTAAAGAATTTTCCATCTCTTGATTGTCCTCGCAATAAACAAAACGTCCACCACAAGCACTAAACCTCTTTACAAAAACAACGTCTTCTGGATCTGGCTCATCAAACAAAAGGGGTAAGTGCAAATTATCCTCTGCCTTATTATTTTCTTCCTTTTTGGTAAATGCTAATTTTATACTATTCCACCACATTTCACATTTATGTTAGATATTCAAATTTAATAACAAGCTTACTACTCTGTTATGCTTT